CGAGTTCTTACTAGACATAGGGTAGGTTGGTATATAAAAGAGGGGAAAACGTGACGCGGGTAGAGTAATGTGTGTATAGGTAGATAGTGAGTAATTGAACTGCAGTCACACGGTATTGTTGAAGTTAACGTTCGTTCGTTACAGTGTTCTTTTAGCGCGAGTATTGAGATTAAGTGTATCGCAGAGTTATATTCGGAAAGAATAAACCAGTTTTATTAAGTAAAGACTTGTGTCGTTTCGTTGGAACGAAGTTACGGAAAAATCAATTAACACACGGAGACGTAACAATATATATATATATACTGTTACGTATCTGCTTGTTTGATGATATTACGTATCTGACTGGTTGATAATTTCCGGTTAAAATTCTTTCGGATAAATTTCATCGATACAATTCCCTTCTTGATTAAAACTAGTTTATTCTTTCTCGATACAAACTTTGTAATACCCTTAACAACTTCAATAACACACGCTATAAATTACAGTGATTCACACACTTTACTTATGGTGCCTACTGTTGGCTTCACTCATCTATTCAATCTATCTGCCTCTGCCCTTGCGCTGGTTTTTCTCACCAGTCTTATATACTAAAAAAGAGGGCACCTCGAACAAACTGGAGTTGCCAGGAAAATTCGTGATCCTTCCAGAAACTCCAGCGCCCATGCTCCCAGTATTGCATGACTTCGGGTGTCGTAACACTGCCCCCTTTCTTAGTATTGTTCGTCCCGAACAATAGCCACTTACATTAAACCATCAATAACTTAATTAAATGTACAGAATTTATAAACACAAAATTAAAATACAACAAAGTCTCTTAATTTTACAGAACATATCTTCTTCCGTACTGGTCTCCATCACGTTGGCTTCTGCTTCATGTGGGGTTCATCTGCTCCATCAGGAAATGTCCCATTATCGGTAGTAGTCACATCAGTGGAAGTACTTTATTTACGGCTTCACTGATTTCCTTCTCAAAACCAGGAATAGTTTCTTCTTCAACAGTGGCTTTTTGATGTGACACGTCTTCAGCAGCGTCATTTGTTCTGTTGTCTCCTGGTACAAAGCTGACTTCAGTAGATCTCTTATCATAATGTTGCGTCATCGAGTCACATGACTACTGTGACGCAACGTTTCTAGAACTATCATGTACTTTGGCGAATGTTCTAGTTCTTACTAGATATAGGGTAGGCTGGTATATAAAAGAGGTGAATGTAATATCTGTGTAGTTAGTGAGTAATTGAACTGCAGTCAGAAGTATTGTTGACGTTCGTTGATTAGCGTTTGTTTTAGCGCGATTGTTGAAGTTGAGTGTTTCGGTAAAGTTATATTCGGAAAGAATAAACCATTTTTATTAAGTAAAGACTTGTGTCGTTAAAATTTCGTCGGAACAAAGTTACGAAAAAATCAATTAACAAACGGAGACGTAACAATAACATAGCTTCATGGAATCAGCTGACGTTTTCAAGTTTGAATGCACTTGATGGTGAATATCATCCATCCCTTCAGATAACACTTTCACGAACTCTGGCACATTTACAGGCAACTCTTCGTAAGGTGGGCGTCCTGTTATCACGTCCACTGGCAACCGAAGTTCCCGACCAAACATCAGCTTTACTGAAGTGTATCCAGTGGCTTCATGCTCTGCTGTTCTATAGGCCATCAACTGTGGAGGGAGTAAGACTCCCAGTCATCTTGACGGCCATTACAAAACTTTGACAATTCCTGTCCCAATGTCCAGTTGTACTTTTTTACCATCCCATTAGACTGTGGGAGAAATGGCGTTGTCCTAGTCTTTCGTATGCCATACAACTTGCAGCATTCATGGAACACAGCTTATTCAGAGTTATGGTCTTGATCTGTATGCAGTTCGTATGGCATACCAAACCTGAAGAACAAATCACTAATAGCCGAAGCTACAGTTGTAGCTTCCTGATTTGGTATTGCATATGCCTCAGGCCACTTGGTGAAATAATCCATCACCACACAAATGTACCTGTTTCCAGCACGAATTCTGGGCAATGGACCAGCAAAGTCAATGGATACTCTTTCCATTGGTGCACCAACTTGATATAACTTCATTGGGGCACATCCCTTATGTTTGGGTCCCCTTTTAGCACAACATGTACTGCATGTCCTGCACCACTCCTCCACATCTTACCTTATACCTATCCAGTAAAATCTCTGTCGTAGGTGACTCAATGTCTTCTTAACTCCGAGATGTCCTCCTGTTACAGTATCATGGGATTGACGCAGCACAACTTCTCGTAACTTTCTCGGTATAACTGTTTGCCAGGGCGTCACTTTCCCATCTCCGAACAAGAATACCATATTCAAGCTTCAACTGGTCCCATTGTGCCCAGTAGTTCTTTGTCACAGGGCTTAAGCTAGACACCTTCTCCCAAGCAGGGCGCAAAACACTTGCTTGTAGAAAATCAATTATTGGCTTCAAATCTTGATCTTTCTCCTGCTCTGCTTTAATATCTATATCTGGTTCCACTTCACCATCATCAACTTCTTCAGTCACTTTGAATTCAGCTTTATGACACCTGGTTAGTTCAACCTTCTTTTGCAGCATAGTCTGCAGTTATTTTTGCAGGGTCTTCAGCTCAGTCCATAGGCATTTCCATGACATTTTCCTTCTCTATATTCAATATCATAATTATAC